AGGGAGTTTCGCACGGCGCAGATGTATGGGTTTCTGAAGTTTTCGCAGAGGCTACCACCAATAGATATAGCATTGTTAACGGAATATGTGACGAATTATGATCCGGAAGATGGGTCTAGTGTGGTTCATGGGAGAATTATTGGTATAGATGAGGTGACATTGAACAAGGTTCTATATCTTCCCATGGGTGAGCTACTAGTATCGGGAGACTTGGAGTCTGATTTTGTTCCAAGCAAGTACTTCAAGTCGGAAAATGAAGCGTTTGAGAAAAATCAAGGGTGGAAGACAGCGGATGCGCTTACGCTGGAGCTGGAAGAATGGATGCGGTTTGTGCAGAAGCGATTAGGACTGAACCAACATTCGACGTATATGGCAAGGAGGTTATTGTTTTCAGCAATTGCGACGCTAGAGGGGATGGTCTTCAACTGAGCAGCATATGTTGCGACCAGAATCCATGCGGAATTGGACGTGAAAAGAAGAACAGGGAAGGTTACCACGATGTTATGCTCCAACTACGTGTGTGAAGCAATTAGATATCAACTGAAGCAACCTTCAATGGTGGAGAGACTAGATGCTGTAGCAACAGAGACAAGAGTAGAGTCAACGCCATTGCCATCAAAACAAGTCGAGGAAGCGGCGATAGCAGAGTGCAGCCAAGCTAGAAATTGCGAACGGACCAATGTCAGCTCGTCATCTAGAGAATTGGGTAGTCCCAATATCAATATGGCCGTCACTCTACCAGTACTGGTAGAGTATTATTAACGGGTGGATTTATCGGGAGCTGGCCAGCACGCAAGAGAACTCAAGGAGTTAATCTCGGCACAAATTACTCAATTACAGATGGCCGTTGTGAAAATGGACAATGAGTTCAGCCTTAGACAGGTACTGGAGGAGAAGGACAAGATCATTGAGGATCAGAAGAAGAAGATTGGGGATTTACAATGTGCTTCAGTAACGGACGCTCTCAAATATTCAAGATTAGAGCACCAATTCAAGGAGACACAAGCGGAATGGGCCAAGGAGAACAAGTTGGAAAAGAGTCTGATGGAGCTTACCAAGCAAGAGTGTATGGAGTTGCGGAACCAATACCAGGAGGAGAAGAATAGGGTGGCGGAATTGGAAGCCGGGAGATTCAAATTGGAGGACGATTTTCAGAGACAATCGAAGAGCTGGAAGACGGAGAACGAGAAATTGAAGAGAAGGATTGCCGAATTGGAGGCAGAAATGATTATAGTTACCACGCAGCAAGGAGAGGTCAATCCAGCAAGTACATCTTTACGGAAATTAGAGAAACAGGTGCATGCCCTGGAGGAGCAGCTGAAAGAGCGAGACACCCAAATTGTGCTTTTGGAGTCTCAGGTTCGGGAATTGGGAGCACTTAACGAGGACTTGACAGCTTTATTGAACGGAGAGTAGGTGGGAGAGGGAGTTGGAGAAGAAGCTCAAGAAGTCGAAACCAATCTCACTTATGGAAATGATGAAACGGACCAAGGCGGACCAAAGGTTCAGACATTGGAGGAAGCCAATGATGTGGTGATATTATAAAACATAGTACGAGGTGGTTTGCGAGGACGCTGCACAGTAAGGAGTGGGGCTATGTACAATGTATAAATGACTTTTCTGGTTCGTTATCGATTAAATAGTAGTAATGTTGGGATTTAGATGAATGGTTAGTTCGATTAGTTGTTAATAGTAGGAAGTTAAGAACATATGCGGTTAAGAAGCCAAAGTTTCACAACCTGTGGAATCTCCTGAATGACGATTCATATTTTGGTAGGATAAAGAGGTTGAAGAAGAAGGAATGGGGGCCAGACTGTGATAGTCGTGAGCCAGGGTAAAGCTTGGAGCTACCCTTTTGTTTTCTTTGCTTTTGTGTTTTTCTTTAGTATTGGATTTAAAAAAAGGATTGCTGAAACTGTGATTGAGATATTGAAAATTATGAATTCGAATTAATTAATTTGGAGAAAGAAAGTGTGATTGTGATAATAGAGATTATTGCATTGTGTTAGTAGCACTGGAAGATTGAATAAAAGTAAAGGAATTGAGAATTGAAGTATTGTGGAAAGAGATTAAGCATCTTGTAGATGTCAGGAATGTCAGTGATATTTAGTAGCTGCAAGGCAGTGAACGATTGTAGAGATTGTGAAGGGATTGAATTGAGATGAGGAAGAGAACTTTGGAAGTTTTAGATAATTAATACATAATCAATTGTGACATAACATATCCAATTCATACAACGAGTCTTTTCCCGAGATCGAACCCACCTATACTGATCAAATATCTTGGTGTTTTGAGTCCGAGTCAAACGACGATTACATACACCTACTAGTGCTATGATGATCCATTCCATATTTTATGTATTTCTTTTTGAATCACATAAAATAGCGTATATATCAAAAAGAAGACAAATGCCACCTCTTCCTATGGAAGTAGACAACAACCAAAAGTTTGAAATAAAAGAGGTTTTAGACCCAAGGTAATGGAATAATAAATTAGAATATTTTGTACATTGGTGTGGATATGATATTAGTGGATGCAAATAGGAGCTATCCAAGAATCTTATAAATACAAGTGAAAAGTCAAATACTTTTTATTGACAACATTTATCAAAATGAAGATGAAGAGTTAAGAAATTCCTTACTATAAATTCAATGAAGATTTCATTCTATCTTATATCCTTGTTTATATTTTTTTATATATATTTACCATTAAAAAGATAAAAAAATCAAAAATCAACAAATTCAATTCAAAAACTATCTTTTATTGAATTATCAAATAAAGTATTAAATTTTTTATAGCTTTAAAGATGTTTTAATTGAAATAAGACTACAAAAAATAATAATGTTTTCTTCAAATAAATGGCAAATTAGAATGCATTTGATATCACAACCTTAACCTTAAAAAAGACTCTTCATATTTGGTGATATTATTAGAAATAGAAACTAATCTTCATAATGTTATAAATATTTTATTTTAATGAAGTTATAAAGGCTTCAATAATGTCCAAATATCAACATTGGCATTTATAATTAAGAGTATAAGAAGAGTTAGGTAGAAATAAAAATAACTAAGTTTGATAATATCTTATGGAAAAGCTTCTTAAAAGCTTTATAGATATGAATTTGACTTTATAAGTACTTGTAGGTGATTGATAGGTTAAAAAATTAGCCAATAAGTTAATCACATGTTGCTAATGTTGACAACTTGTTTTACAAGTTAGCTATATGGCACACATAAGGAAACCTTACTTTACATGTTAGACATGTGTTAGATGACATACTAAATATTGTCAAGTAGCTCCTTAATTAGATAATATATATAGAGGCAAGAGTGAGGCCTTCCTCATTCTTATCAACATCTTTCTTGAATTCTTGTCTTAGCTATAGAATCTCTAGTCTCTTTATATTTGATAATAGTCTTTCTAATTTCTATTTTATGTCTATTTTGAATTTTTCTACTTTTTCTTTTTGAATGTCATAAGAGTATAGTTTTTCTTTAAAGTCTTTTTATAATCCATGTCCTTAATACAAATTATCATAAAACAATTATAAGTTAGAATTAAAATAAACTTTGATGCACATCATCATTATGAATCTTAAAAATTGGACAACTTTTTGTAGGATTTAAGATTTAATTTTTTTTTTAAATTAATTATCAAGAATTTATTAATCTTTTTTTAAACATATATTAATAATAGATAATGGAAAAAATATCTTAATTTTTTTTTCTTCTCTATAACAAATTGTTGTTATAAAGTTTTTAAAAACAAAAGCATTAATTTATCAAATTCATTTTTTTTCTCCTTAATCTCCATGTCATCCATTTCATCTTTGTTACAATCTTTTAATAAGTTAAAGTCTATGTTAATTAAATTTAAATCTATCATCTCATAATAATCACCCTTTTAAAATATAGCTTTATGAAAAGATTTCTTATATTCTATACAAAAGTTGTTTCAATATTCTCAATAATTTTTATTTTTATTTTGAGTACAAGTATAAAGCATTTTAATAAGTCCTACAACCACACCCATTATGTCTATACACACTTCCGAAGCTTCTGATTTGCTCATCCAGATCCCTTTCCCTTCTCCCCCCAAAGACCACGCTACCCCACTTTCTCTTCTTTTCCTCTGGTCGGGTCCCAGCTCCCTCCCTCTCTTCCTTTCCTTGGTGCCGGTCCCGGCCCCCCTCCCTCTGTGGGAAAGACTTTATCTTAACCAAACTTTACGTCTTAAGTAGATACTCGATTAAGCTCACGGAACATGTGAGAGACAACCAGCGTCATACTTCAGTCCAGTGTGCTTGCAAGCTCTGAATTAAACGGACAGCAAACTCGAGCACGGGGTATTTCACAGATTGCTTCTTTATTGGTGGTATTATAAAATCGGCAGAGAATGATACCTGCTCTCGCGTTGACAGCAACAAAACGAGGAATAAAATTCATGCAGAGCGACCTGTGAGAGGACCAGACTGCTTCAAGCCCCGCAACAGAGTTTGCACCACAGATGAGAGAGTCAGGCTTTCTCCTAGACTTTGAACGGAGTGTCCTTTCTCTCTCTCAACAGCTGATATGAAACCCTCGCTCATGGAATTTGTGGGCTTTGCCGCAGGTCGTGGTGAATACGTAGTAGATCATGATCTCCCATTGGAGCCTGCTAGAGTCAAGATAGGAAGGGAGGGAGGGACCCTACTTGTTCTCAGGATTCTCCCTCTGAAAGTATTTAATCATTCAAGTTTGAAGGATCTGTACGGTGGTTTGCTGAATGAAGCGTTTTCAGGTTAGACTCTCATGAATAATCACATTTTCTCCCAATTGAACAACCCTATTCAGTTTCTTTGCTGTTAATCTGGGGTTGTTACAATCAAGATTGTTTGAAATATTATTGCTATTTTACATGCTTTGGCAGGTGAAAATCAAGACCAAGGGAGAATTTCAACAATCACTGGTCTTTTGCTCGAAAGGTGCATTTTTTCTGTAGTGAGTAATAAATGTGTAATGTGGTTGGTCTCAAATATTTTCAAGACTTTTACTGTGCCACATTTTTGTCTTAACAGTGAATCCTTCTCTGGCACTGGGGAACCTGAGCTGCTGATGATGCTGCCACTCCGCCTGCCCTCCAACGCCTCTCGCGATACCATTCTTCCAAGCCCTCATTGGCCTGAGCAGATAGTCGCAGTAAAAACCTGTCCAACCTCCCAGCGTCGATTCTTTGCTGCTCAAATGCGATAACCACACCAGCTGTCGTTTGACATGGAAACATAGGCTGCCACGGCTAGCCATAGCGCGCGTGCTACAATTGCGAGCAGCAGAAGTGGGGCTAGAGAAATTTCGGGGAGAGAGAGATGCAAAAGCCCATACTCAGTAGGGCCAGAGAAATTTCGGGGAAAGGGAGATGCAAAAGCCCATACTCAGTGGGGCCCCGAAAACACAACCCATTATGCTATTTTGCTATCATGAAATTTACATTTTTTTTATATTTGTCGGTAAGGAGTACCAGCGTTGACTGTCTGCTGGTCTGCAGAACCATTCAACCTTAGGAGGTCGGTCTCCGACTGCTAGTGCCCTCTTCTGCTGGGGACCTTATTTTTAGCAGGGATTGTTGGGAGCAGTTCAAGTGCGATTTGCAACATTGTTGGTGAAGTTGTAATGTTGCCATTTGACGTCTGGTAGTGGTTTGTTGGAAGAGGACGTCGGAAATCGGCGTTCATCAGTCAGGATGTGAATTGTTCGGACGATTTCGGGAGCTAGACAGCGGTGTTGCCAGCGTCACTGGCGAATGAAATGGCACGTCAGAAGTCCGCGTTGCTCGGAATCACCATTGTTCTTTCTCTCCATGTCTTCAGCAATTTTCTGGAACATGTAGAAGCGCAAGACCGTATATTGTTGCCGGCAGCTGAACGTATGACTTCGAACTTTGATTGAAAGCTTCGACGCACATCACTCTTCAACACCCTCTTCCACACTGCTTTAGCTCTCGGGAGATTGCGGTCCCATGTGGAGGGGTTGTGTTGGTGCTAAATTGCTGTTTCTGAGACCTTGAGAGTTTAACATTTAGGATTGGATACGAAATTATTCCGGGTGGAGGAATTGAATGCCGGATACCATTTTGAAAAACGATTTACGCCACCTTGGGTGAAATGTATGTGATCAGAATTTGAATGCGTAGTGAGGCGCGATCAAGTATCTGGCTGTTCTTATGACTGACCTAGTTTGTTGATCCTCTTATGGGTGGCTTTGGCAACAGAATGGGCGCTGAGGAACCTTTCCTTCGCATGGCAGAACACCAAAGATTTGAACAGACTCCTGCCTGGATGGAAAGATTATGAGCCGGAAGTTTTGCCTGAAATCGGGATTTCGAATTATGATCCCTGCTATTTTGATTCTTGGCGAGGTGTCCGCTGTTACATTAGGGAAAGGGATAATACTGGAACTTATAGAAATTGGGATGCAAATGTCGTAAGCATGTAAGATTCTTGGTACAACAAATTTACATGCATTTGTGCTCAGGTGGATGTGCCGTTGGATTCTTAGATCTTACTAGTTCCTCTTAAGCTTACTATTGCTCATGTTATTTTGAATCAGTTCTTTTGTCTTCAACCTGGTCTGGAACATTCATCTTGTATTTCGTTTGATATAGTATTTTTAGAGACTTGCCTTACACATCATCAACTTTGTCGTTGCCCCATGTTTGCAGTCCTCAGAACAGTGGCTCAAGTGCTGTCTCTCTGGTGACTCACTAACTGATCGTAACCGTTGGTTGTCGCAGCACACTCAGTGGCGAATTGATCAAAGGCAATTTGCCTGCAGATATATGGAACTTCTCGACTCTTTCAACCTTGTGAGCACATCAGGCGCTTCTCTTCATGAATGTCAATAGATCTCTTCATGTACTTTTTTCAATCTACATCAGATGACAGTTCAAAGAGTGTCGAAAGGGTTGTATGAAGTCCTCTGATCATGGCAATATTTGCTGGTGAAGAACCTTGACAGGAAATCCTGAACTGGTAGGCTTTCTCCCCTCTATCAACCGTGATAGCGAACTCTGGGCTCTAAAAAACCTGTAAGCCTCTTCTTTCCAACTTTGATCAGCATTAATTAGTTTCCCGTTGTTTCTTATTGTCACGTCCACAACTGCAGAAATTTCTTGTACCCACTGACACGATACTCTAGCTGGGTTGCCAAGTGTTGAGAAGGGTAGTCCGACCTGTAGGGCTGTTTTTCATGTGCTTCTACCTAGTCAATGGAAAATCGGACGGGTGTATCAAATATCCGCCTGCATGAGACCCAATCTTGTTCTGTTTAAAAATTTGAAATTTTCAGAACTGTTCCTAGACATCTATCAACTTATGACCGTATTCGAACCTCACTGTTTCTGCAGAGATCTTCATGGCAATGTACTTCAAGGACCCATACCTAGTATGTACGGGGATAATTTGACTGGGCTCGAAGACCTGTAAGTGCCTGATACATGTCTGTAATGTTTCTGGCAAGATGTTCTGTCTTGCATGTTTGTAAACATCAATGACTGTAGCGAGTTAAAGGAATCGAGGATCACCTCTAAACTGTTTAACCTGTTCACTACTGTCAGAGATTTAAGCAACAACCTTCTGACCGGGTCACTCCCAGAAAGCTTTCGTAAACTCGAAAAGTTGTGGACTTTGAAGCTGTCGCACAACCAGCTTTCTGGAAGCATACCGAGAAATCTTTTCGACAATTTGAGCCGAATAGTCACATTGTAAGCATGCAGAGTTTTAGAAGCGTTTGCATTCCACTCTGAGGGCAAGCGTTTCGTGTAGTTCTCATGAAGCATCTTCTTCAGTTATATAGTTTTTCAGATGTTCCGGGTATCCAGCCGCAGAGACGTTTGAATATTTGAAGAGGACTGTTGTACGTGCAAAATAGGCTGAAAGTTGGATGAGGTTGGGTCTTTAAATTCTATTTCTATCTTTTGAAACAGGGATCTATCAAACAACAGTTTCAGCGGGAAACTTCCTAATTTGACCTCCGCGGCCTCTCTCAACAGACTGTGAGTGGTGGCCTTCTGAGATGTTCTGAAAGTTTTGTCCCATCGTTTCGGTTCATGTGCGGTTGTACGCTATGTTCAAGCTCATCTTTCGAGGCCCTTGTTGCGAGGAATCAATGTCGTGCAAGGGTTTCGTGAGAAATCGTTAGCTACAGCTGTGTGGTTCAAAGTGTTTGAGCAGTCCCTAGAAAGAGCCAGCTTATCTTATTAATTCCTTGGTGTTTATTGCAGGAATATGAGCCACAATGCATTTAGTGGCTCTGTAGAACTCCTTGTTAAAAAAACGAACTTGGATGCTTTGGACCTCTCCAACAACTATTTCACAGGCTCGATGCCAAATTTGAGCAACTGCTCAAATCTTCAATCTCTGTAAGACATGTTCATTGACAACATGATGCGAGCAATTGTGGTTGTGGTGTTTGAAGTTCAAGAATTGGGAGCATGTGATGAGAGGCGCGACCACTTTTAATAAGCATATACCATGGTGTTGATGTGTTTTGGTTAGTACTGGGAATGCCCATGAAGGTGTACTTACTGAACGCGGACATCTGAAATGATCTGGAAATGCAGGAGTTTAAGCAACAACAAGTTTGATCCACAAGATATTTCTGCCTTGCTGCAAAATGTCACTGAGATTATAACATATCTGTGAGTGAAGCGGAACTTTAGATTTGTTGGGAACCGGCCCTGTGCTCAGTTTTGTGAAGATTCAGTGTTGATTACATGATTTTTTGTTCAACAAGGAACGAATTCGTGCAGTGATAGTTGGGTTTGCACTCGGCAGCTGGACTGAAGAGTTGAAATCGATCAGAAACGATAGTCCAGTTTGCACATGTGCCACCTCAAAGCCTGTTGCCTAGGGGGTTCCTTTTGGTGTACTAAAATATTTGTGATGTTGATGTGGAAGTAACGTTCTTATGAATTGACCTGCTGGTTGTAGGGGTCTGAGTAATACCGCGCTGTATGGCACGCTGAATACGTCTATGCTAAAACGCTTCACAAAGCTAAGGACAATGTAAGTATCAGACCATTAGTGTTTGTGGTACTATTAATATGCTTTCTAATTTTCATTTTGTATTTTTCCGAGAACAATATGATGTCCATGGTGTGACATCTGATCTAAATGTGCTTCTAATGAAATACGACATTTTATAAAGAGACGGATGAAACGAGAGTACTAACACACAATTTTGACCTACACCCGAAATAAAATCCGGATAACAAGTAGATAATAATCCTGGGAATAAAAACCTCAGAGAAAGCTGTCAGAGCTGCTAAATGAGAACGTGTTGAAGGTAACAACGTGAAGACTCAATTTTTTTTGTTACAGTATCCGATTACGGTACGCTTGGGTGCGTTGGAATCTGCTCTCAGTTGCTAATAGGACAAAAAAAATATTCTAGTCATTCTAATAACAACCTCATTCAGCATGTAGGAGTGGTGATGTTTGGTGTTTCTACCTTATTGTTACTGGTGTTACTGGGAGTCATGGTGGGAATCGATTTTGTCAAGCAAACATAATCCTGTCATCTATTGTTGCAGAGAACTAGATTACAACAACATCTCTGGAACACTGAACGTTACGGATCTTCTTCCCTTCCCAGTAAACGATGGGACCCGCAATAGTAAGCTGCGTATTAATTTGAGGAACAATAGTATTGGCACGGTCATTTACAAGGATCATGTTGGAAATCTTTCGTTGATTCTTGAGTAAGCAGTCTCTTGCCCTTTGTCTGCATTTGTTTGATAGGTATGATGTAAAATTGATTTGGTGGCATAGGAAGTGAAATTAATCTTGTGCCACTTGCAAGATTCTTGCAAGTTAGACGTAGCTCGTGCTTTGGGAGTCCACTGTAGTTCCCAACGTGGCGCTACAACAAAACTCTTCCTTGAGACAGGTCCTCGTTTAGGGCTACATTCTTCTTGAAAGTTGGCTATATCTTGGTGTTTCGGTTGGAAGGTTGTCATGACATCCTAAACATTGCTAATCATACGATGTTGGTGATTCCACAGGCTACAGGGAAACCCATATTGCGAAAAGTGGGTAAACAGTGATGTTGGCAGGTGTTTTTGTAAGCAAGAATGTTTTGATTCAAGTAAGACACCGACAATTACACATACTTAAGTTGCTTAGCTAGGATTCACTTCGAAATGTTGACGTCAAATGTTGATTGATTTGTTCAATGGGTGGCTATTGGTCAGTTTGAGATGAATTTTCAGTTTACATTGTGTGTCAGCGACATCAACTTATATAATTTTCTTTTCCAAAGGTAACCATAAGCAGGTGATATAGAATTATTTTTTAAACATGATCGAAGTTGTTATCAAGTTTTCTCTTTTATGGAATTTTGACGACTCTGCATGTGAAAGGATTGTTGTGAAATAGGTCCTGTGCAGGACAGCGATCAACATTGTCTGCTGGCAAATTTATTGGAACGTTGCAAACTAGAGTTGATTTTGTTTGTGGTTCCTAGAAAAACTTCGAAATAATTGGTGTACTTGGAAATATCTAACAGAGAAGGATATTGCAAATGCAAAACGGAAGACTATTTTGATAGCCTCACTTGTATGTGGAATCCTGCTGGCAATCATCATCAGCATTGGATCTTTTTTGATTTGGAAAAACAGAAGGGATAGCGGATACCGACTAGCCGCAGTACATGAAAGTACGTAAAACACGTAATTCTTTTTTACATCAGTGAATTGAAGCTTTGCTCGTTGTAACTGACGTCGATCATACTAGAATGTGCAACTCCAGTGCGGCTTTAAAGACATACCAGAAAGTTCTATGTTCTATTGTTCATTGGAATGATGTGGTGGCATTTTATCCATTGATAAAGATGTGATAATGAATCTCATACGGTGTCTTTTGATTTGTTGATTTCTTTTCAGAGTTTGCCAAGCATGAATTGAAGCCTACGTTATATTCATATGGTGAGCTACAAAAGGCAACTAATGATTTTCATCCCACCACGAAGTTGGGTGAGGGAGCATTTGGTGCAGTTTACAAGGTATTCCAATGGAGTTTGCAAAGTTTGGAGGACTTTATATTTGAGTTTCTTTTACTTGATATGTTTTGTAAATTAAACATGTTTCTTCCACGACAAGATTATCAATAATTGTGTGGTTGTTTGAGCAGGGAAAGCTTGCAGATGGAAGTGTGGTGGCTGTGAAGCAACTAACCACAAATGCACAACAAAATATGGATGACTTTTTGAACGAGGTTGTTGTTCTTACAACTGTGAAACATCGAAATTTGGTGAAGCTCAAAGGTTGTTGCCTCCGTGGCGATCGAAGACTTTTGGTATATGAGTGTGTGGAAAATTATGACCTTGCTGAGACGTTGTTTGGTAAGTTACTTATACATTGCCAAAATGAGGTTTGATTGAAATATTTTTGAATGGCATTTGTTGTACTTAAACTGAAATATGTGTGGTAACCTTTGTCCTAAAGAGAAATCTTAGTCATATGATTCATTGATAATGGTGTGAATCAGTAACTAAAATGTCTCTTCGAAGCCATGGTTTTAGAAGATTGTTTTTTTGATGTCTTTGCACAAGTAGGAGTTACTAAAGTTTTACAATTGGAAATCTTACTTCTAATATTGTTCTCTTATGTAGACCACAAAGGTAACCAACTTATAACTTGGCCAAAGCGATTCAATATATGTTTGGGAGTGGCACATGGCCTACAATATCTACATGAAGGGGTGGAACCCAGAATCATACATAGAGATATTAAAGCCAACAATGTTTTACTTGATAAGAACTTGGAACCCAAAATTGCAGACTTTGGTTTGGCACTTTTGTTTCCAAATCAAGAGACCCATATTACAATTTTGCAAATTGCTGGTACAAAGTAAGTAAAGTTTCCATATTGCAATATCATATTGTATAGGAAATTTTTATCACTACAAATGCTGACATAGAATTATAAATCATTGATTATTGTTATTTTTTATTATTGATTTGATTGATAAGAAAGGAAATAAATTGTGGAACGTGCAGAGGATATTTGGCACCAGAGTATGCTTCACTTGGCCAAATAAGTGAAAAAGTAGACGTCTTCAGTTTTGGAGTGTTGGCCTTGGAGATTGTGAGTGGGAGGAGAAATATCAATTTTGATCTGCCTTTGGACCAAACATACCTGAGTGAATGGGTATGTTTCCACTTCATGTAAACATAAGCTATTATTTCTTTTCCTACAGTTATGTATTCTTTTTTTGTGTGTATGCTAGTATCTTAAATTTATATTCACATGAACCTCTTTCATATGCATCTTTACATTTTAAATCCTTTTGGTGAAAATTCTTTTGGAAAATTATGGCAGGCATGGAAACTAAATGAAGCAGGTAGACTCAGAGGCCTAGTTGATCCAAGTCTTTCGTTACAAGTTGATGAAGAGGATGTGGTACAACGAGTGACAAATGTTGCAATGGCATGCTTGCAAACAGCTGCAGAAAGACGGCCAACAATGAGTCAGGTGGTGGCAATGTTACAGGGAGACATTGAAGTTGGAGAATGTGTCAGAGAGCGATTTCATGAGAATGTGAATAGATCCTATCAGAAGCTACTGGGGCTCAAAACGTCAGTCACTAGTCCTGTTCCTGTTGATGAAGAGAGTCAAGTCCTTAATGGAAGTAGTTCCCACGATGGAGGTGGTTCTCATGCGGGAAGTAGCAGTCTTGAGCTCAGTTCAGTGAGAGGTAGATGATGGTGTCACTTTTGTTTGTAGTTATTGAAATGTTTGTGTTTTATTTATCCACCAAAATTTCCCTGGGAAGTTTGTGAAGTAGTGTTCATATGTCAATATGTATCTGATTTTGTATTCTTATAGAAGAGAAATTAAGTTTCTGTAGTAGATTGTACCATTTTAAATCTTAGAGGAGCAGTCATCCATATTTTGGATGATTAATAGGGATGATAGGGAGGTAGGGATGACAAGAAATAAGGTATCAACATATATTGATAAGGAGGAGATTATCAACAAAAGAAGAGAGGACAAAAGAGAAAGAGAAGATTGGAGAAGAGGAGCAATAACATAGAGAATGTCAATATGTAAACAAGTTATGGAAATAAGTATATCACACTTTTTTGAAATGTAAATTTGGTACTTACTAAGTGATACCATTGATGAATATAGCAAAGATTTAATTTTTTTATTAGATAATTCTCAAGACATTTCTTTTTCAAATTTCTTAGAAGACAAAGATGGATTATTGAATTTATACTTTATTCATCACTTTTTTTGTTCCACTAATATGTCATTTCAAATGAATGAGTTTTCAAAATTATCTTAAATTTATTTATTTTGGATACATGGGATTAAAAATAAATGCTTTTGTATGACATCAAATAGTTTTAACAAAATTTTAGGTATTATAATCAATCATTATATTTCCTAAAAATTAGCATGTCAAAGATAATCAAATTAAAATCAATTTATGACTTATTTTAATTTTGTTTATATATAAATACTTTAGAAGTAAAGCTTTTTAAGAAAAAAAAATATTTGAGACATATATATATATATATATATATATATATATATGTTTGAATTTAGAAAGAATAATAAATTATAAGAGTCTTATTGTAGAAAATAATCATAAAAATTGAGCCTTAGTAGGTCTTGGAGGTACTTATCTTAAATGCTTTAGTGTTTTCTCTTTATAGTGAGAATTAGCATTTATTTATTGTTAATACTAATATCTATATTGACCTTTTATCAACATTTATCATTGATTTAAATCCTATTAATATTATTTAGTAAGTAGAAGAAGCATGAAAAAGAACATTATGACATTTTAATTATTTATGTAGAAAATATACTTTTTAGTTGATTTAAATTGATTCTATTACAAAAAAAAATTATTAATATATATAATGGTAGTTTTAAATTAATTATAGCATCTTAAAAACATAATAGATATTTTTAAGTTTTATTTATAATTTATTGATTATATTTTAGAAATTTTTAGAATATATTCTTAAGATTTTGGTAAAAATAATTTTTTCCACCTTAAAAGGCCATTAGAAAGAATCTAAGCAAGATGTGAAGGCTTTATAAGATTTTGAAAATAATTGGATATTTTTAATCACTATAGTATAGTCAAAAATACAAAAAAAGAGGTTTTTTCTAATAAAAAATAGAAAGACCAACAACTATTATAATAGTTGTAGAAAAAGAGGTGCACATGTCTCATATGGGTTGTAGCACCTTGAATGTAAGTAGGAATGTAAGACTAAGTCATTGTGGCCTTTCTAAGACATCCACATATATTACTTGTAAGCCGTAGTGAGACTTGAATCCTTGACCTCTTAAGCAAGTTATCTTTGAAGCAAAACTTATTTACTTAATTTTTTTTATCATTGACTTTTTATTTTTGAACTTCATAACTTAATCAGATTAATTTTTATTTAATTTATTTTTTTCTATATCGAAGATAGAGAATTACCTATCTAAATATATTTTGTTTTATTATATTTTTTTAATAAATAAAAATTAAATAAACAAATAATGACTAGTTTTTTTAATGTATAATTATTTGATTGTATTTCTTTCACTTTTTTTGTGCTTTTTCTTTTTTTTTTTTGTTAATTTTGTCTCTCATTTTACACCACCAATAAGAAGAAATTCTTAATTGAAGTCATTTTGTAATCTAAATTAAAGGGTTAAATATATTCATGGACTTCTAATATTAAATATGTAGTAATTGTTAAAGAACTTTATGGCCTTTAAGATTAGAAGGAGTTTTAGATAGATTATATATATTTTTTAAATAATAATACTTATATATATTAAGCTATAAAAAATAGTAATTAACTAACTTTATAAAATTATTTATTTATTTTTACTATTTTTTTGTATTATCTTCTATTACTATAGAACTTATAAGAAATTAGAATTCAATTTGAAAAATGTGTTTATAACACCTAACACATTCTAATAAGAATAGGTGTAGAATATTATTTAAGTAGATTAAAATGGAAGTTAAAAATTCTAAAAGATTTATACATATGATTATGCTATAAAAAATAATGTGCATGCTATATTTTATACAAAATATGTTGATTCTTACACAACATAGTATTACTTGATTATTGAAAAAATGATTAGAATGATCTTGATGACTTTATCAATCATGTTTTATCAAGTTAGTTTATGAAAAGAATGCAAGTATAGGGTCATAAAATTAAGAAAACAACAAAATTTAAATAATTTTGAAAACTTAAAATACAAAGTTTTAGGGCCAGTGCTTCGGATAGTGAGTAATTGGCAAACCAGCTATACCTAATTCAGTGCAACATAACCTCCCATTCTGTTCTTCAGATCATTACATTCATGTGAGCAAGACTCTCTAAACGGTGTGGTTTATTCACACTTCGATTAGGAAACATCCACTTCGGATTGGTTGTATAGCATAGGTAACCTTCGGCGAGCTTTGTTTCCAGCTCATTGACGTAGTTCCTGTTCAATGCATCTTTTATTTGACGGCTTCACTTTTCAATTGGAGACGAGTAATTTTGTTGTTCCTACGAAGTTCTTACGAGCCGAATGCAGAGAAGGGGAAGTTTTGATGCACTAAAGGTTGGAGTGGTCGACGGGGTGCTGATGATAAGATTTTTCAGGACACACGTGCTTTTGAGGTCATTGTGAACACTAAGCAGATCCATTCAAGCAATGTATGTTGTGACATCAGTTGCATTCCACTGTACATGGGAGCAAGGTTTTATGAATCTAGACTGCTTATGAGGAGGTTTAAGTTGGTATCGAGAACTGTATCTTTTTGGAGTATGTAATGTGGAAGTGGGTCTCATATTATTTTGAGAAATACTTAGTATGAATAGCTACGCAATACGTTGTAAGTTCATTGTAAGTTCGTTAAGAAAGTACCCAATTGTGGTCAACTATTTGTGCACATATTATACGTTATACAAGTTGCTCACATCAGAGCCTATACAAGTGGTCATCAATCAGTAGTAATTGTAATGAAAGAGTTGAATTTGACTGTTTCACTTTAGATAGTGACATATTAATAAAAAAAAACTTGTTCAATACTTCAAACACTATAATTTGTTATCAATGCTTTTTTATTATATATATATATATATATATATATACACATATAAGATATGTTGTTTATAGGCATGTAGAATGATTTTACCTTTTTTATGTTTTATATAATTTGAATTTGGTTTAAACCCTTATTTCTATCTTCTCAATTTTTAGATTTTGTTTTTTCTTTCAATGTAATAGCCTATTTATTCAAAATTAGTATATTTAAGACTAGGTTTATGAAAGATAAGAATTTGTGTTTAAAATATCTACAAAAAGATGATATACCACATACAAAATTTGAATTCAATCAATTGACTACATGTTCTATTTATAAATTTTAACATCTAGATTGTAAACAATAAAATTGATTGGCTCTTTATAAGTTAATAGTTTATTTAATTTTAGAAATTTTTTTATCATTTAATATTTATAGATTTTTTTAAATAATTAAAAATAATAATATTTGTAGTTCTTTTAAGCTTAATTCTTTTATAAGAATTTATAAACTTTTACAAGAAATTTAGCAAAGAATAAATTATGTTGGTCAAAGAATAGGATTTAGAATAGAGGAATGCATTAGAATATTTTTTTATAATATATCTCAAAAAAAAAATTAAAAAATATTAATAAAAAAATTACTAAGAAGATTTAATATTTTTTATAATTTGTATTATAAAAACATTAATAAACAAAGAACATAAAAAAGAAATAAATAGAACATAATAAATAAATAAAATAAAATAAAAATAAAAATATTTGATAATTTCTTCTAAAAACTTAAAGCTTAAATGAATAAATAAAAATATAATAATTATTTTTAAGGGAAATAAAAATAATAAATAAATAAATAAATAAACCAATATTTGTCAAATTTTGTTCTTTTAGTTATACAAAATGATAGGAATAATATATCAAAAAAAAGAACTACTAAAAATATTTAAATTGACTTATTTTTAAACATAATAAAGAAATTTTAAATATTTTAAGCAAAAATTTATAATAGAAAATTGTCTCTTGTTATTATCATACTTATATTATATTAATTCTTTACTCTCTTAAGCTTTTTTAAAATGTTTTAATTCCTATATTATATAGAACATTGCATATAATATTTGTAGAGTAAATCAAAACCTTTACAAGAACCTTGAGCAGCAAGTGCTTTTAGGCAATTCAAAGATTAGTGTGTTTCACAAAGCTTTTAGAAAATGATAGTCTTGTGTATAAGACTATCTTTTTTATCAAACTTTTTAGATGACCTTTTTTGACATGGAGGGTATTTTAAGTGGATACTTTGCACAACTTTACTATGATTTTATTATCTTTAGAAAACCTTATAATAAAAGAATTGCACAAGATCATGAAAAACCAAATTAATTATAAAGTGCTAGATTCGAATTGAGTAGCTTATAAAAAAATTTAAAATATATTTACGTAGTATCAATAAATGTTATACTAAATTTATCTTATATTTTTAAAAATATTTATTTGAATATTAATAAAACTCATAAATTAAGTAAGAAACAAAGAAATAGTAAATAATTAGTGATTTATAATTTTTTAAATTTTAAAATTAAAAATATATAGATTGAGACTTTATTTAAAATTTTAATTAAAAATTGTAAAATAATTAGATTAAAATCAATGAGTACTTTTTAAACTATTAAAAGTATAATTTAATTTTTAGAGAAATTAAATTTGTAAACCTTATTCAATTGATTTGAATAAGGTAAGAACAAAAGTCAATTGTATATAGAAGAAGTATGATGTGTGTTGTTAACCTTGGATCTTACATTGATCAAATAGCAATTTGATCAATAATAATATTTGGGTTAATAATACATATTAGAAAAATAAGAAAATTTAACTTATTATTCAAAAGATTTAAAAATCTAAATTCCAATACTTTAGATGTAAGCAACTCCAAAACTTAGTGGATCAAAAGCACTTTTTTAGACTTAATTTTAGTTTAAAGAAGGTTTATTATCGCCTTAAATTTATACCAAGTAATCATTCTTCTTGTTAAGTATCAATTTGCTTGTATTAATTCCAAAAAAATCTTCTTCTTTCAAAGTTAATAAGTTGTAGAAGTAATTCGTATTAGAAGAAATTCAACACCAACTATTAGTTTAAGTTTGACTACATATAATTTGACTTTAATAGTGGTTGTAAGAACTAGACTTAGATTAAAGATCTAGAAGTGAGACAAAATAGTGAGTGATAAATTAATATATTTACACAATCAATTTAAAAATAACTTTTGAATGAATAAAAATAATACCTTTAGTCTTATATTTAGTATTTGTTACTATCTAATCTCTTTTTTTTTTGCAAACCCTTGTGTAGCCATTGACCTTTGTAGTCACTTACATTGCTTTTATTAATTGCAAGAGGCTAGCCATCTTTCTTTTAACAACTAATCTTATTTGTTCTAATTCAAAACTTTAGAACCTCTAAGTTTTACATGAATCAAATATTCTGAACTAATCAGTCCTATATTTAGTACTTGGTTCTTTTATACCACCATTGATTAAAGAAAAAAAATAATAATTAATAAAAAAATAAAAAAATAAAACAAAAATAAATACTTTCAATCTGTAATATATACTTATATTGAATTAGCAAATGATCTTGAGATTTTATAATTATACTTCAATTTTAAATTCAATACTAACTTAGTTCATAAATATAGGTAATTATAATCTTATCTATAAGTCTTACAACTACTATTGGTACAAAATAACATAATTTTACTATTTTAGAAGCTTTTTGAAGATCGATTAGATCTATCATTATTTTTAGATGTATCATGTAGCCATAAAATTTTATTTAAATTTTATTTATATTTAAGAGCCAAGTAAAGAAGTCTTCAACAATTTGGATACTTAATTTACAAGTCTTTTGGTTATTGGACCTTTTTGTTACCATGTATATATAAAGAGAAGATTAAAATTATCCTTGGTCTTCTTAATGATATATTTATGAAATAAAAAATTTAAAAAATATGACATATATATATATATATATATATAAATTACAGACTATGATTATTGGTATTTAAAATTAGAAAAATTACTAATATACACTTCAAATTGTATTTGAGAAGATGGAATGAATAGAAATTATGAAACTCTTATAACTTAGTGTTTAATCTTTTAAATTTTTATTGATTTGATATACTTCTTTTATTTACTTTTTTATTGATCAATTTCACAATCATTTGGGATTTTTACCTTACATCACATATTATATTCCAAGTAAGATAAATTCAAAAATTTGATTTTAAATTCAAACTGAAAATCTAATAAATGTAAGAAATGAATAAATAGTTTGCCATCGGTTACTCATACATGTCTCACATTTGAATGTTTTTAACACTTGGGATTTTACCACATAATTCTGATCCTTTCAAGTATTATTTTTACACCCTAAAAATAAGACGTATTTAACTTGAATGTTTTATTTGACACAACGTTGTGGTGTTTTGATCGCCATTGCAAGCTCCATAATGTACTGTACTCAAATTTCTTCTACTAGACTATTTTCCTCGACTTCAACCCTCTTGTCACACGAAAATCGGTTCCATGCTTTTCACCCTCAAATATATCGTAGTGTTAAAGAACTTCATAGCAACCCCACAAACATTTACTGCAAGTGTTTAAACGAATTGGGTGCACTGAGTAATTGAGATAACTGTAAAGCACAAAAAGTTCGGTTGTGAGCCATGAATGCTCAGAGTATTCAAGCGAAAGCTCTGAGTATTCAAGCACCTGCTGTAAAGCATGATGAATCTTAAGAACTATGCTTCAACCTTCAATAGAGCAGACACTGCTAAGCACTAACTACAACATATCCAAAGAATAAGTGCTATGGTTGGCGCATCTAAGCCAATTCAGTTTATCAGCGGTAGCAGATCCAGTTGCATAAACACCCAATTGGTATCTCCTGAAGTGGAGAGTAGATCAAGAAACAGTGACTTGCAAAGCTGTGCCCATCGCATTTAACCTTGCCACCACGCAATCGACTCGCACTTGCGATCCACAACTTCATTCAGTGCACTCCACCTGAGGGCATGGGATCGCAAGTGCATGAGGAGTAGCCCCAGCTTATTTTCTCCTTTTCCATTCCGCCCGGCACCCCAGAACATGTCATGAGATCCCCCCACCAGCACAGCGTCACCAGTTGAGAGGAGCAGATCTCGAAGAACGGAGTACGTTAAAAACTTTGCTCTCAAAGCTGTTTCCATCACAACGAGCCTTGCCACTGCCCAATCTTTTCGCACCTGCAATCAACGACAAGCAGCGCTCTCCGTTGGCGTTAAAATGGCCTGGGACAAGCCTTGTGAGATGGTGAGAAGCTTTCAAAAAAATTATTACCAGGTCGGGACGTTGTCGAGCAAGAGTTCTTCCCATTCGAGTTGCTTCTTCGGGACACTTGGCCCGTCGAATCTTGTGAATAAAATCCTCGGCCAATGAATCTCTCACACCCGCAAACTTCTGTGCCTGTAAGAGCACAAAAACCAAAAGACTAAGAACCCAGAAGATCACACCTAATTCAGAAGATCACACCGTCAATAACAAAATCTCGCCACATTCACATGCCATTGACGAAATTGAATGTCTTTACAATGTAAAATCACCTGATAATAATGCTCAACACTTTTCCAGGAGACAATAGTTTCGTTCTCATTAGGAAGAGAGATAGGATGAGGAGAGAAATTAGAGAGTGCGCCATAAGGATCCCACGGTTTGTAAAAGTGAATAACTTTGGGTCGTTGAGGTGATGAAGCAATACTAGCATCGAATGCTGCTCCTGCCTCACCCACAGCTGTAACTTCTGGCAGACAACTCGGAATTGCTTGCAGAAACCCTGTCATGAGCATGTCTGGTCCTATCTGCAAATTCCAATACACAATAACACAGACATCACAGTAAGATAACAAACAAGCTAATTGCACGAACTTGATCCAATCGCATTGGACAAAAAGGTTGACCTATTCTTTCATCACGTCCCTTTGCACAATACAACGTAAGTGTGACCCTTGTAAGTAAGCTAGGAGCTACACACTCATCCCGATTGCAAGCAGGCGAATCTGTGATTCCCAACACACAATGTGAGATGATTGATCATGCGGACTTGAGAGAGAAAGATACATCACCGTTGATTCCGACTACTCTGCCATTTAAACTGCAAAACATGGCACATGTAAATACTACGTTACAGTAGTCCCAGCAATGGCTGCTGCCTCCGATCAACAACAAATTCTACTGTGTCACTTCCTCTTTTTACTATAAAAGCCCTATGAATATTCGTAATATCGTACAAGTATCCCTTCTCAGACGAAAAAAGCCCCTTCGTGTACTCCTACGACAAAGGTCCACACAGACCTGCTCAAATGCGACATCTGACAATTGAAGAGCTTGTGTCATCTCCGCCATTCCTAGCTCCCCCACCGGTGTAGGTGCCGTGATGCCTCCAATAATTTTCGGAGATATAAAGGCCATCACCTGTAGGTCATACAATTATTTCCTGATATGTCGAGTTTCCTCTTCGCAATATCAAAAAACACAAAGATTCTGTGAAGCGCTCCTGCTAAGTTTTATGTGCATTCTTGGCGAAGAAATTACCTTTTGAATCGCACCTGACGCAATGGCTGGTGCTGCCAGCGTGCCACCGCATTCCCACAAAACCGACAAAAAACCTCGATCATAGCAGTGCTCCATCACTGCCCGTGGAGTCAAAACATCGAATTCTACCACTTCCACACCTTTTGAAGCTAGTATTTTCTGGAACCCCGGATTAGCGCCCTTTTGTGTCATGACAATAGTCTGTGTAGTGGAGACGTCCCAAAGGTTGGCATCCTTTGGAAGGTTTAGACACCGTGACATAACAATACGAACAGGAAGATTGCCCCCTTCTTGTCTTGTCGTCAAGCGTGGATCTGCTCATGGAGAAGATGATGAAGAGATGTACGGTTAACATCCGTGTAATGTGTGCTCAATGCTTCAGATGATCAGGCTTCCAATGACTTCACTGATTAAGCACCAGATATACACTGAAAGAAGAAGATCGTTTCTTACTATCACGACGAACAGTGTTGCCTCCCACAATAACAGCATCACTACGAGCACGAGTTTCGAAGACACGTTTCCGAGACTGCGTGCTGGATACCCAATAAGAGTGACCGGTGCTGGTTGCAATCTTCCCTGCTCATTAATAACATGGGTTCTCAACGCTCAGATGAATATTTCTGCTGTAATGGCAAGCGGAACCATCAATACTCTACAACTTACATGCACATTCATGAGAAAGATGCGAATTAGGTCTATTTGACGTCGTTTTCCATCAGAGGTGAAAACTTAGAAACAAAAAGATTTGTTGACAATTACCATCAACTGTAATGGCATACTTTAATATCGAGTAAGGCATGCTATTGGCGGCCCGGAAAAGAAACGGTGCGTTTACTAACTGACAAGCCTTGAGAGCTTCCTGCACAACCACCGATTGCTATTCAGGCACTTGCAGCAAGTGTTGAATCAGTCGTTGCGTTTGACATGTTACGGCAAAATATCAAGATTCCGGCCACACCACGTAAAATTTCGACACTGCAGGTTGAAGAGCAAGGTTTATGGTAGTCGAGCATTCAATGAATCCACGCAAGCCAGCAAAGGAAACGCTGTAACAAAAGATCATCGCCCTAACTACATGCATATATTTCGCTAAGGCTGTACCGCAAGTTGTACCTGCGTGCTGCTTCCACATTCCAGTAGATTCTGTCCACCCACTTCCACATGGACACCTCCCTGGCGAAGGGCACTAATGGCCTTGCCGTGCAAATGTTGTAATGGGTGAGAGATTCCGATCACCACCCTTGAGACTCCTGCCTGTCACGATCAACGGGGAGATTCCAGAAAATAAATAAATAAGTAAACTAAAATTTAAAAAAAGTAAAAATAAATAAAAGAGAGAAGAAAGATACGATCAAATGGTATGATGGGAGAGAATAAACTGGCAAAAGTAAATTCAAGAAGGGAAATCCCCACAAGTAACCGGAAATAAAGAGTGAAACGAGAAAATATCAAAATATGCAGAAACAATAGGCATGCCTCGTGTCCCAATTCCCTCGTAGAATTCTACAATGATCTAATGGAAACAAAATCCATACAGGGATGGCCACAGTTACACTCCCGTCAGAACTAAAAAGTCTACACGAAAAGAGGGTTCTACCATATTGGGACCGTTAGACTGCGAAGCACTTCTACAACTTCGCTGCCATTCGATCACTCCTTCAGATATCAAAACGTTGTACAAAATAAGTGTTCACCTGCCTAAGAGCGCGAACAGCACTGGCATCACCATGACAATCGCCAGGCTCCAAATTTAAATAAGCTGTTGCATTTTTGGCGAGCTCTCCAGCTCTTTCTACGGCTAGGACTTCGGCACTCTTGGTTCCTTGAGCGTACAGGAAGCCCTCTCCCACCGATTTGGGTCCATGAGCGATAACGCAGCCAAAATTCGGATGAGGGGCAGTCAATCCAGCCGATGACTCAGCGAGTTCTGCTGCTCGTAGAAGATGCTGAGTGTCATCAGATGAGAGGATGGTGGGATTTGGAAGCTGTGACGGTACACAGGCTCTCAGAGAGAGAGCTTGCACATGCATGCTTGGTACCGCAAGCAAACCCCTACTCAAATACATCAGTGATACAGTTCTCAATTATTCATAGCTGGTTTACTGCGACTATATCAAGTAGAAACCTCCTAATCAAGTGATCGACTCTGAATGAAATGAACAGAGCCTTGAAATCCACCATGAGCAAAACTAGATCATAATCTTCCAAAATTCACGAGAATTCATTCAGAAGCTTTTTTATAATTCGATCAAATATAATAATAAGAGACTAAATTTAAATTTGAAAATGAAAACGAAATGAACTGCATTACTCTCTAGTACGTCAAGTCCAAAACTATGCTGGATTCGTAACTATTTACAAAAATAAACAGAGCGAGAGCAAACGGAGAGTAATGAAGGAGGAGAATTTTCTCACCAAACCGTAATCACTTCCGATTGCTCCAAATCAAACTCATCAGGACGAAACAGTCAGCTCACTGAAAACACTAGTAGACATCCCTTTGAAACCCAGTGGAACAAAACCTCAAAACTACTAAGGGAGAAACAGATACTAGAATAAATAATAGATTTAAAATTTCGTAAAAATCAAAACCAAACTTCCGCTCAACTTCGCTATGAACGAGTACTTTTACTCTCATAAACCCTACAAATCCCTTGAAACCTAGAACACTACAAGATCCACAACCTCTTGAATTCAACTCAGTAAATTAGCTACTGGATCTAACTCTTTCCCACACCCTCTGCGGACGAATAAGTAATGCTAGTGCGCGACTCAGGCTGAGCAATTTGTCACTGAACAGACTCTGCGAAATCACACAGCTTACAAATTCCGCGTCGCGAATTGAAGGCGGGAGATGTACCATGGGACACCGCTTCAATACAAGACAACGAACACCCCAGCAGGCTGGATGAATGAAGTTGTTATGACGGCCCTCTTTCGGGAGGGATTTGGCTGCAATATCTAGCTATAAATAGATCAATTTAGATGTTACTTGAAGGAATGTATGAATGTTGGAGCAGCCTGAGGGATTGCTTCTATTTTTGAAGGAACCCAATTACGGAACCCTCGACAACTTCACGAAGCAGTGACACCAGGTGAGCAGGATGTGTGCGGACTAGCAACTGGAAACATGGGTAATCATCTTAACAGGCTAATTTGATCCGTGGTTGGGTGGTGACTGTTGGATCCTTGCAAGATCCTTATTCTCGCGTCAACATAAGGATTCGCGAGGTTATCTCTACAATGGTCTATCTAAAGCACTTGCGGAGCAAATATCCGTGGATTCGATCTCTGGATGAGCTGAATGGCTCCCTTCTCTGCATTGCTTTTAAAGCTTAGAAATCAATCTATTCGAAACGTGCAGGCTAGTTTGTGCGGATCTTCTTGCCCAGTAACTCGAATGTCTTCACGTAGTCCTCTGTTTGAACTCGACGTTTTCGGCCCGTCATCCAATTTCACTGCGGAGTATGATGCACCTGTGAATCCAACCATTTCGATGTTGACAACTTGCTGACACTTTCTATTGGAAGCAGAAATTTGCAATGATTGCGACTAACTTGATCTTCGAAGGAGCTAGGAAGTCCTATGTCAAGAAGGGACACACATCACAATTGCTGCAAAAGAGAAGAGACAGATGCTGACAATCCATACGCTTCAAACGATGCAGGTTTCTAGTGAACGTTTGTATTTGAATTATAAAACAAGAGATGGAAGAGAAATCTGTTGCTAGTGCTATGGACAAGGCCAGCAGACACAAACCCCTCTATTGCATGCCACGTGAGCTCGAGGAAAATGGTCACATCAATGTCCAAGACCCTGTTAATTGCCTAATGCACTGGATGTGGTGCCGATTCCTGGATATCTGACAGGTCTGACTCTTCAGCAAAACATCAATATCCGTATTGACAGTCGTTAATAAGGAAAACACACATGTTCGAAGTGAAGGCAATAACTGAAACATTGAAGATAAGGTGGAGAGGATTTCGGCCAGACTAGCCTGGCAAGCTGCAACCGTTACGTGAAACCGGAAAATTACCAAAAACTGAAGCTTAAGGTCCTTCAAACCACCTGAATAGATTACCCAGACATGGCCGTGATCGTCATTCCAGAACTGTATTGGCAAGAGTGGAAGAATAGCTCAGACTGATGCTTTGAGAGTGTTTAAATCGGAAAGAATGATTTCAGGAGAACGGAGGCGGTATTATTAATATTACTAACGCCTATGACTGGAATCCTAGACAACTCTCTGGTCGACGAGGTGGGATGCATTTGACGCAGAAGGTGAACAGAGAATCATCTTGGTGGCAACGAACACTACCCCACGCTTCACCAAACACTGCTTCCACGACATCAGCAAAAGCAGCTCCTACTTCCAAAAGAACCTCAGTGCCTTTCAAATCCACCTTCTAAACTAACTAGATAGCTCTGTCGAATTCCAGTAAGATGCATGAAATGTGACCACGACGTCCTCAGGGATGCATTAAGCTCCAAGCCTCTGACCCTCCAATGGATACCACAAATAGCCTCAGTTTTCGACAAGATCCAAACACGGTTCCTACCTGCAAAACCAAGACCATGGAAGCCAAGTGACATACCTTCCGGGCAAAGTCAGGCATCCACTCCTTCCTAGACATCTAGGCCCGCGGTGAAGTGTCCAAGGTTTCTGCATCATACCTCATTGGTGAAGGATGCAACCAAGTCGACGTCGCAGAACTAGTCGAACAAGATAACGCGGCCATCGAGTGCTCGAAGATCGAGTCCACAGACTATAGTGATCGAAATCCCGGTCTCATGCATCCAACGAAACACGACGCTGATCGACTTCCGAACCCAGGGGATCCAAGTCCAAAGCGGGCAAAGAATGGTATCTCGCATGGAGCAGAATAATACACCGAAGAAAAAAAAAGCTGCAGAGTGGATAGAGAGGCGGAAGTTAGCGATGGCATATCGAAGAAGCTGTGGGAGCAACGAGGGACTACCGACGCTCCGCGCTCGCAAGCGGGGAAATGGACCTGGTGGGGCGAGCACGGCGCGGGAGATCCCCTGGCGGGAACACACTACATTCTCCACGTGGCATGACACGTGGCAGGAATCCTTGATGGCGTTCACACCGCCCCTCTTTTCTTCAAAGGTCCCTCACGACAGTTACGAAAATCAAATTCAAGTGATACGTTTTGATGTATATATACTTTTTTTTACTTGTCCCTCTCTCTTTCTCTGTGTGTGTGCGTAGGTGGATAATTAAAAATTAAATTTAAATATTACACTGACACTTGAAAGATTCAAACATGTAGACCAACATTTTGCAAAGATAAATTGTATTCATTACATAAGTTAAACACAATGTTTCAAAATGATGGTCCACAAATTTTTCAGGTTGGAATTGAATTATTGTACATCATCTATTTCATAAATAGTAACTTTTTTGAAGTCATTTGACATATGTTTGTGTTTTTTATATCTATTAATATTAAAAAAAAAGAAGGTGGCTATGATTTGAATTCAATCCTCTGTTGTAAAATTCAAATGGCGTCTTTGTTGCTAAAAATAGAAACATTTTGTGAATCATTGAATGCTTCTTACTTTAAGAAATTGAAGGATGTGTATAGAAATCCTAGTGACAAAAAACATCAAAGCATTCTTTGTTAGATATTCTTTTGTTGCATATAAAATTTTATTCCACACTTTGACCATATGTACTTGTAGGTTATTGAACTGTAGTTTGTATGTATGTATGTATGTATGCACATACATATAATGCTTTATTTCCTTTTTACTGATAACAATCTAAAGATAAAATCCTTATTGTTCAATTTAATTAATAAAAAAATCACTGAGGTAAGCGTGTTTTTATTTTATTTATTTATTTTTTACACTAGTGGGTAGCAACTTGATACAGTACTTTTTAGTTCCATATAAAGGTATATATATATATATATATATATATATCCTGACGGACATATGCAACCTTATACGTAATGCATAAAGTCTTAAATTATATATGAAAAAAATACAGTCTAATTAAATTTAAGAGCCTTTCAATACACTGAATTTAAATATACACACATTATTAGAACATGAAGTTTTTATTTTGTATTTTTTTTTAAGTTTTAGAAACAAGGATTTTTTTTTATTTTTTTTATTTTTTTTATAACTTACTTGAGTTTAGTACAAATCAAAACCGAACAAATTATATAAAAATTCATAAAAAAACAAAAAGATGTCATTAAAATGTATATATATATATTTACGTCTAAGACCTCTTGATTATTTTCAATCTACATGTGCTTATTATGCAATATTTTGTAAAAGAAGATAAATTGTACTCATGAAAATTGATTTGTATTAATCTCATTCTTAACTCATAAGATATTTACTTCATTAGTTAAATTACACACTTCAATTCTATTTTCACTCTTTTGTATTTTGACAGCCGCATTTACGCACATGTTCAGTTTTGTCTTTGCACAAATGTCTCTTCGACACACAATTTTGTGGTTCATTTTGAGGAACAAGCATTAATACAAATATATTATAAAGAAAAGTAATGGTCCCAACTTTGAATATTCTTTGTAATAGGTAAATATAAATAAATCAAACATAGTACCCTTTTCTTTTTGGCTGACAACAAAGAAAGTCCGATGGTAGGTCAGAATTATAAAACCAACCAAGGTTATATTTTTACTCTCTTTCTCCTTAAAAATAAGAGCCGTGAAGTGGAAACATAATCCCTAAAAGCGTGGGGGATTTGGGCACGCATTTCAAAGCCCTGCATGGGATGAGTTACCTCATGAGGGGGTGGGTCACATGATCGGATTCTACCCCCCCAACCCCAGATTCTCACTATCCATGCCGGTCCAGCTTAGACTTCATGTGCCTTTAATTATCCTCCACTTAAGCTCACTTTAAGGAAGTCTAATCTGACCCTGAGCTGAATTAAGCACAGCATGAGTCGCATGGATGAGACTAATGGATGAATTTTCCTCATCGACGGAGACTGGGCCAGCCACATCCAACCCGGGGGGTGGGGCCAGGAGAGAGAAAGAGGTTAAGGAATGTGGCAGGCCCATTCAAATCAACTCCATCCAAAGGCAGCCGAGCACGATGAATGAAGGTCGCGTCAACCCGCACCCAACCCGTTATGGCTTTGGTGCCGTGGAAGAGAATGGATGAATCAACTTATGGATGGATATATGGATGAAATAATAAAAATGGATCCCACCACATCCCGCATACTTCCACAGGGCCATTATTTCGATCCAATGGAAGATCCCGTGTGAACGCGGTCACTTGACTGACAAGCTCGCTTTCCTTTGTCTGTCATTCTCCCTCTTCCCTTCTCTCTTCTCTCGCTCGCTCGCTCCTTGTGTTCCATTGTTGTTGCTCGTCTTCCTCGCTTTGCAATCTGCTTTTCATTATCTCGGATGATCTCTGGGTTCGGTGAGGGGCACTTCACTGTTCGTGTGCTAGCAAGGAGGTGCTGGGTGCCATGAGAATCCGCCGCAAGTCGGAGAAAGTGGTGGAGAGTGACGGGGTACCGCCGTTACACACTCTCATCACCTGCACGTACCAGAAGCTGTTTAAGAAGGATGGCGAGCATGGAGGTGGAAACGAAGATGGGGTAGCAGAGACTCATGGAACTAGTGAGACAGGGAAGGCTAACATGGCGGACCGCCACAGAAAGCAGCGTCATGAGTGTGGGTCATGGGCTCATAGGAGGAGGGTGAGTCGGGTGTGTCATGGGTTTAATTCATCCGTATCTAGCGCGCTAGTGTGGTTTTCATTGATTGTGGTGGTAATCACATGAGGTGGGTGCTTGTCATGGCGTTGTGGACATGTACAGAGGGAGAGAGAAGATCCTGCACATTGCGTGATTTCAAGTGAGGAGGATTGTTGCATGGCGGAGAGCTGGAATGGTAGTAGCGGGTGTAGGGTGACTATTTTGGGTGGCGGGGGTTTGTGGGGGAATCTGTGATTGGGTTTTGGTGGACGTCGCGGTGGGGGTGCATTGTCATGGCTTGACTTCAGTAGTCAGATTTTCTTACGAGGTCATGGAAATTGTATATTGGGGAGGAACAAAAACCGATTTTGACTTGGATATAGTTCCTAGGTCAAGGAGTCGTGGAATGTCATGGATTCATGTGTAATGGGGTACGCTGCACGGTTCATTAAGTTGCGATGTGGTGCACACATGGAATGGTTTCGACTGCGGGATGAAAACCATGAGTTTGGTTTGTGTTATACATGTGTCGCCATGGATACTTGTTTTCACCGATAGCATTAGTGCTCATGTTATGGCGCCTTGGGTGTGTGGGGTGTTCGATGAAGAGCAGGAGGCGAAAGAGGATGCGGTAAATATGTACGTTGGTAGGCATGGAGATAATGATGTGCTTGATTCTTCTCAGGATCTGTACGAGGCGCGTAACCACTCTCTCCTCCCCAAGAGACGCAAGGTCAAGAGCACCCGATACGCGGTACGGACCCCACATGTCTAACCTTGTTACCCTAGCGTGCAAGGTCTTAGTGTGGTCTGCGTGGACTAATCTCAGTTGGATCTAGTCCGATGCATGGATAACTTTTCCTTTCATGAGGTGGCTTTGTCATGAAATCGTCTCTTTTGTGAGCGGAGTTTGTGGTTGTCCAGACCCTACGATTTTCTCGATCTTATCGTCAGTTGCGTTATCCTGCATTTCGGATTGCGCTTTGACCCCATAGCCTCATAGATTCATGACATGAGTAACGGACGATGTAAGTCAAGCTAGGCCAACTCAGTATCGACTCTCATAGTGGAACGACATGGCCAATGTTCTCAAGTTATGGACTTCTAGGATGTGATTCAGGTACATTAGCTTTTATCCTCAGATTGTTGCGCTTGTAAGGATCTCAAATCATTGTATGATAATGAGTAGCAAGCTTACACTCTAAGTGGGAAATCCGCATTCTAGTTTACGGTTAGTTCTTCCCTCGTCAGAATGTGGAGGACTCGACTGTCCAATTATGTATCATGATTCTCAATATGTCGGTAGATCTCATAGAGAAGAGCAGATACGCGAGTATCTACCTAAATTGTGGGTAGACTACATTATAACTACGGATTGGATAATTGACTTCGGACCAACCTAATTTGGAGCAAACATTGTTTCTTGTGACCTTCTTGTAACATGACCCTGTTAGCTCCATGCTTGCAAATCATTCATGAGCACTTTTATGTCCTTTTATGGCTCCTATGTAAGACTACACAATTTGTGACCTACATGTTCCTCAAAACCATTAGAAGAGCAGGCAATCTTGCCATGGAAAGGCTCACAAGATTCATAATTAGATGATGAGCCTTTGTTGAAGTAACAATATTATTGTTGATTGGCTGGCAGGAATTCTCAGAAGAGGTGATTAACATGAGTACACCCCACAGCACTAAGGCTGAGAAAAGGTACGAGCCTCCAGAGCGTTCTTAGTGATTCTATTTTGAAGCTGAGGACGTGTGTTGCATTAAATTGATACATCCAGCTTGGTTTTGTGGTCTCTTCCGTGACTTAGTACTCAAGATAATTTGTTTTTGGTGTACTTCTCTAAATTGTGTGTGATCCTACTCAAATTTTCAGATCTCGAAATATCGAGAAGGATATCGAAGAAGACAATGCAGATTTTGTCAGCACTGTTGCAAACTCGAAAGAGGCATTGATTGCGTCAATTTTCTACGTCTTTGACACTCTAGGAAAAAATGGGCTCACTGCAAGCGAGGTTGTAGCCATTATGCTGGAACAAAACCTCCCTGGTCTCAAAGAAGGAGGCGCTAGGCATACTGTGCAAGTAGCGAACGTGCTTCGGAGGTCACGTCATTTCATTTCAATTGGTAACAAGCAGTACCTTCCGTGCCCAGTTGCAGAAGATTCAAAGCTTGAGGCCAAGAAACAGGGTCATGGACGGAATGGACAATCGAGCAATGACAAGCAAGCGCGCACAGAGTGCAAGCTCTACGATGGCAGCGGGTGGCACTGCCCTCGTCAAGTACAATCAGGATTCTCATTGTGTGTCCATCATCTAGATATGATCAACAGGCCGTCCGGCAAGGTGCCAACTACTTCGTTGGTGAAAGATTCGCCTGTGCATGTTCATGAGCCTTCAACTCCTCAACATGAGGGTGAGGAATCTGACTCTGATCAACAAGAAAGTGAAGACATTGGGCCAGCTGTTATTGCCAAATGGGGCAGAGATCGGGCTCCGGGTTCAGTACCAAGCCAGAAGCGGAAGATGCTTTCTCTTATGTCCATAAAGTAGAGAAGTGTAATTCGTTATTTTTCTTGGTCGCTAAGGTACATTATTCAGAATTGTGATTTGCATAGATGTGTGGGATTCTAGTCTAAAGCTTTCAAAACATTGACTTTGTATAGAACTGATCTCTAAGTGGTGCTAGAGACCGAATTGATTACGATTTGATCTTGTACATTGTGCGATTTCGAGTCATTTAGGTGTGAGCATGTACGAACACATTTGGGAATTTTCATTTTCGACATTGTCAACAATAACCCTTTCAGGGCCACCACTTCTGTACTTCAATCTAGGCGGCTGGAAGTACTGAGTACTTTATCGTTGACCCCAATGCTAATCTCAAGGCAATTTGTTGCCCCATCAGAAATGAGGAGCTGTAGATCACAGCATTGTCGTCTGCATTCGCTTGTGAACATGGTAACTACGCTAACTTACCGGTAAAACTTTGAGCAAAGAAATTCTGACCAATTCTCACAAATTGGCTATTTTTTGAAAATTTCACTGCTACAAGCTGGGATACTGAGGCAGAACTGTCCCTGATGCGGTTGTCCCTCAAACTTCCGGACGTTCTCAAATGCCGACTTCCAAAATCAATCATGGCCTTCATTGAGGAATGATCATAAAACGATGATTTCTGTAAGAACTGCAACCAGACAGATACAACTGGATGCTTACTAAGTATGATGGTCCTGTGCACACCTGAATTACTGTAACTCACGTGATCACAAGCCCTCCGATTTAGGTCTGATTTCAGTATGATATCAGCATGTCACTCCTGGCAAGAAATCTATCGTTCACAACACTTGAGCAGATCTTACAGCAATGTGTCCAATGTACCGCCGAGGGGAATAGAAATCTACACAAGCATACAGGTCCTAGAATCAACCTTTATTTCAAGGACGAAACTAATGTGTGTTCACTTTGTATAATCCTTATATACACCGTATAGTCAGCCAAAGACAGAGCACGAATCAAAAAATTCTGCTCAGTCGTTTCTTGTTCATCACAAGTCCCATTTTTGAAGTGATCAACGCTATGAAAACTATCTAGAAGTAGTTCCAATTACCTATCAAGTTAATCTTTTGCAGCTCCAAAGAATTGATTTCTTTTGGAGGAATGTATTGGTTCTCAAAGCTCCTTTCCGGACCATGGAGTGGCGTAGATGTCATTAACCACTTTGGGATGGTTTTCCCGGAAAGTACCTGCTAATCTGTCCCACCAAGTGAAGTACAGGGATCTGTTGTACCTGGGGTCCAAGTGATGAATATAATGGTGTTTTGGTCGTTGTGCAAAGGGTGCGAGGAGCACTCCCAGGGAGCCGGAGGCGTAGATCCAGACGGGAAGGTCATAGCCGCAATGGCCCATAATGTCCACGCCATTTACAGCCCACATGAGGCAAATGACGTCAAGGGCATTCCACGACGATTGGTTGTAGACATATGCAACCAAGGCAGCATAGAATGGTCCAAACGTAAAGGCTATATCGAGAATATCACCGTATGCTGTGTTGAAGGCCGTCAAATCCCCATTGGTTGAATGGTGCCACTGGTGGACGCGCTTATAAACCGACTTGCAGAGGTGCATGAAAGAGTGCACTGCGAAAAAGTAAGCGTCGTGAAGTACCATAACAAACCATGTGAAGAGGAGACTGCCAACGATGTCATCAGAGAATAGGCACCGATTCCAAAAACCATGTCTGCAAAAACAACGAACTACTTGTCAAGAGAAATTCAACTAAAATATGTTGCAGAATTGAATCTACAATTTTTTTGAAGAGAAGCTTGGGTTTAGCGAAAGTTGAGTGAATTCTGCACGATAAGATGAGAGAGAGAGAGAGAGAGAGAGAGAGGGAGAGAGAGAGAGAAGTTTAAGGGCGAGCAAGAAGCCGTGCTTATTGATTTGTACTTTCTTTGTGCAAACATTAAGCAGTGAGGCACTGCTGGTGACCTATCCTTTACCATGTAATCGAAGAAAGTTTCACTAATTCAGGTTCACTTTATGATGAACTTGATAGAGCTTGTTCCAATATTTCTAATAACGTTTTCAAGTGGAGGCAGGGAAATTGTTACCTTAAGTAAAATCCAGCCGCGGAGACGGGCATGGAACCAACTGCTACAGCCCAGAAGCTCTCCTTGAAATATTGGTTTTGAGTAACCTTGATGGAAGGTGCCAGTCTCTGAATATATTCTTTCCTGTGCAACCAGTCTAGAAAGTGGTACCAGATATGCTCGAAGGTCGCATGCATAACCGCCACTCCCATTCCTCCTTGAACGCCCATGAGTCCACATAGTAACAAGTACCAGATCGAGTCCATGTCTGCAGTAAGCTCACAGCAACTACAACCTGCGGCTCTCCTACCAAAAAACAGTAGCGAATCGCTGATCGACTCACTCTCTTCAAAAGATTTTGGCAGGGTATTTTGCTTTTCAAGTGAAACTGGGCAAAGCGCTGCACATAGACCACTTCATGAACCACGAATGTCAAGGAACGACGGTTCAAGATCTCCAGAGAGATGCAATCAATCATGACAAGAAATTTGCATCAACACCAGAAAAGTCGATGTAATCGATGCTGGACTCCACGCAATCGAAAAGTCTCTCTCTCCACCCATGCCGGATTCAAAACCTTTGAGATGGAGGAGTTTATACCCTGACGACGAACAAGATCATCTAAACCATGGTTCCGCGCACAGCTCAGGTCCTTCCGTCGCTGTACTTTCCATGCAGCTCACTTCCTGTCGAGCAAAGAACTGTGTGCATATTCTTGCAAAGTCCTCCAGATTCATGCACATTCCACGTGCATGTTAACTCGGCAGGTTTCGAATTGTACGACATTGATTCCCAGCCCAGTGAGGCACTGACGAAGCGCCATGCTCCCGACTCCAGGTTTGTGCTACCTTTTGTTGGGTTGTGGCCGCGGCGCGCTAAGCACACCGCCGCCTCCTGCGGCCACGCCTTGTAAACACAAGCGACAAGTTAATGGCTTCGACGAAATGCGTTGCCGTAATCTAGTGGGATACACAATCACCGTTATAGTGGGGTTCACAATCAACGATGCGTACAAAACCACGCTGCAATGCCTATTCGGCCGAGCGTCGTCGCTGTCGTGGACGTGCGCGTCACCGAACATTCTTCACACAACACTGGTTCGGCGACTTGGTCCTATCGCCGCGGAGCTCAACAAGAGCGGCTCAGTCATCCTCTGCTGACGTGGCCATGCATTGGCAAGTCGCTTCTTCCAAGGTAAATAATAAATGGAAAATTAAAAAAATTAAAAAATAAAGGTATTACATTGCTAATCGAGCTTGGTTTCAATTTGATGCTCCTAATAATTTGATGTTCCAACAACTTAATTGCAAACATCAACACTTTTTTGACCAATTTAGAAAAGAATGTACATTATAAGATGTGAGATGTGAATTTTCTTACTTGCTATTGCCAATTAAAATTTGACAACTTGGTTAAAAATGACATGTTAATTTAATAATATCTTAGTGAAAAGCTTCTTAGAAGATTTATAGATGTTGATTTGATTTTATAAGTGTTTGTAGATAATAGATAGGTTAAAAACTTAGAAAAAAAGTTTGCTATGTATTGTACATGTAAATCCCTTATTTAACAAGTTGAACTCATGGTGCATATGTTGAAAACTTACCTTGCAAGTTAAAAACATATCTTGCAAGTTGAACACATATTGGTGTCACGGACATAATCATGTAAGCTAGTAATTACATATACAAATAGGTAGAAGTAAGTAAAAGTAGATAAAAGTAAGTAAATTCTATAGAATTTAATATGGAAGCTTCCTAGAAGCTTTATAGACGCTGCTTTGACTTCATAGGTGTCTTTAATTGACTTTTTGGATTAGAAACGTGGTCAACAAGTTGGCCATGTGCCACACATGTTGTTAGCTTGAAGATCAAGCTAACTATGTGGCCCACACATAGAAAAACTTGCCTTGTAAGTCAAGGCATGTGTTCTACAAAGTCAACACATATTGGAGGTCTTATAGAACGTCGCCACGTAGCCCCTAGTTAGATAGTATATAAAGAGACAAGAGTGAAGGCTTCTTCACTCTTGTCAACTCCTTTCTTGCTTCCAGTCTAGTTTCAAGGGTCTCTAGTTTCTTTGTCTTTTGGCAATAGCCATTCCAGTTTCTCTTTCAATATACACACTTGTTTATTTATATTTTGTTACCTTTCTTTGAGTGAAGGCTCACTTGTCTGAATTGTTTTTTCATCGAGTTCTTGTCCTTGACAGATTGACAAGAGTATACCTACAATATCAGAGCTTTGTCTAATCTTGATTAAGAGTGGATTACATCCTTTTCTTGATAAGATATAAGCATATTAGAAGTTGCAGATTACCCTCTTCTAAACTAATATTGTCCTTAGTATTTTCTTTGTTCTCAAGTCCTCTCTTCTATTTGTCTTGAGTGATATTAGACATTTTCTCTCTTCTAAGTGTTATCATGGCAGAACTTGTTGAAATGAAGAGTGCAATGGCACAAATGCAAGAGCAATTGAGGGAATTAATGCTTGCGATGCATCAACTCAATTTATCACCATAAGGAGCAACAAGATTGGCAGGAAGTGAAGATATAGAAATAGTTGGAGCTGCTTCAACATGTGTACCAAACCATGTCCTTTTTCCTATGGTGGAAAGCCCTTCAAATGTTATAGAACCAAGAATTGCCCTACTTGAGAAGTTTGATGGCACCAGATCCAAGTTTCGAGGATTTATCAATCAAGTGCAACTTGTGATTGAACTTCAATCCCAAAGCTATCCAACTCCAAGATCGCAAGTTAGATTCATTGGTATGCTTCTTTAAGATTCAGCACTATCGTGGTTTTCATCTTTTCTTGAACGACGAGATCCAATATTAGATAATCTAGAGGCTTTTCTGGCACAGTTTCGATCCATGTATGGAGAACATGATGCAATTCGTCTTGAAACCAATAAGATCCATATTTTATGACAAGGCAATCGATCAGTAATGTTATATGCTTCACAATTTTGACAACTTGCAACTGATATTAAGTAGGATGATGCTGCACTTATTAGTCAATTTTTCTATGGATTACAATATGAGGTAAAAAAATTAATGCTCAATTTACCTGATCTTCAAACATTGAATCAAGCAATTGACTTTGCTGTGAAGTGCAACAATCACCTTTTTGAATTCTGATCTGAGAACCGTACAAGTGGACCTCAACATTACTATAATTCAATGGCAACACCAACACCTCTTCAACACATACATTCGGAAGTAGAGGATATGCAAATTGATGCAGTACGTTTCAAACCTCTTATTGAGCAAGAAAAGACTCGTTGTCGTCAAGAAGGATTATGTTTATATTGTGGAGAACCAAAGTACACTATTCAACATTGTCCAAAGAAATGACGCAATCACAAAATGAGGAGTATGGCTATGAAAGAAGACAATATGTTGGAAAACAAGTTTGTCTAGCTACAATAGGGACCGTGTGGCTGGAACCTTGTACAACATCTAGTAAAGGTCCTATTCTTTCCTCAGAGCCCTCTCCTTGTTTTACATTAAATATTATTTTAGGACCTAAACATTACAAAGTCTCTGCCTTATTAGATTCAGGAGCCTCAGCGTGTTTTTTAGGTGAAGAATTTACTAAAAGACATAGCATATCTTTAGTAAAGAAAACTAAACCTGTTCATGTAGAAGTCATAGAAGGTCGTCCATTGTCTTCTGGAGATATTACTCACGAAACCCTTCCTATAGAAGTAATAATCAATGGTCATAATAGTTTTGTAGTATTTAATATCATTAGATCTCCCTCTAATCTAGTCATTTTAGGTTTGTCGTGGTTAAAAAAATACAACCCTCAAATAGATTGGATTTCCTGAACTCTTACTTTCTCTAAAAGTATAACTAACAGTGTAGTTAATCAAGTAGAGAGTCATAAGTCCAATTCAATTAAACCCGTATTTATAGGTGTAAAAGCTTTCTTGCATACTGCTATGAAAGAATCACCATATATTATTTATGCCACACCCGTTTCTATTGGTAAAAAGACTTCAAGTGGCATTCCAAGCCAATATCAAGAATTTCAAGATGTATTTGAAAAAAAAAATGTAGATACACTCCCGAAACATCGTCCCTATGATTGCTCAATTGACCTTCAAGAAGGAGCACAACCGCCATTCGGACCAATCTACAGTTTATCACAAAATGAGTTGGCTGAACTCAAGGAGTATATTGAAGAAAATCTAGCCAAGAATTTCATATGCCATTCTAAATCTCCGACAGGAGCTCCAATTCTATTTGTGAAGAAAAAAGATGGATCATTGCGGATGTGTGTTGATTATCGAGGACTCAACAAGATTACCATCAAGAACAGGTATCCACTACCTTTAATATCTGGACTTCTTGATCAGCTGAATCAAGCTAAGATCTATACAAAAATAGATCTTCGGGGAGCATACAATCTAGTACGCATCAAAGAAGGAGATGAATGGAAGACTGCATTTCGAACTAGGTATGGACATTTTGAATACAACGTCATGCCTTTTGAACTTACAAATGCACGAGCAGCTTTTCAACATCTAATGAATGATATTTTTTGAGAGTTTTTGGACGATTTTGTGGTCTGTTATCTAGATGACATCTTGATCTATTTGTCAAGGACAAGAACTCGATGAAAGCTAAAGAGTAAGTGAGACTTTTCTCAAAAAGAAATAGGACAAAATAGAAATATGTATATTAAGAAAGAAACTGGAATGGCTATTGCCAAAATACAAGAAAACTAGAGACCCTTGAAACTAGACTAGAAGCAAGAAAGGAGTTGACAAGAGTGAAGAGGGCTTCACTCTTGCCTCTATATATACTATCTAACTAGAAGCCACGTGGCGATGTTCTATAAGACCTCCAATATATGTTGACTTTCTAGGCCACATGCCTTTGCTTGCAAGGCAAGTTTTCTATGGATGGACCACGTAGTTAGCTTGTTCTTTAAGCTTCTAACATGCGTGGCACATGGCTAACTTGTTGACCAAGTTTCTAACCTAAAAGTCAACTATAGACTCCTATAAAGTCAAAGCAGCGTCTATGAAGCTTCTAAGAAGCTTCTCTAGAAGATATTACACAATTAACCTACTTTTACATACTTTTATCTATTCATATAGGTAATTATATGTATGTCCGTGACATTACCCCCCCTTCTAGGGACGAGTTCCACGAGGAGCGGTGATTATATATTGAGAAAATCTAATATGCGGCGAATTGTATTTGCTACATACTCTGATCTTTGTTCTCTTCAATTTCTTAGGTTACATCATTTCAAATGATGGACTTATGATGGATCCTAAGAAAGTTCAAACTATTATAGACTGGAAGATCCCAAAAATGGTAAGAGATGTCCAATGTTTTTTGGAATTTGCCAACTACTATCGGATCTTCATCAAAGACTTCTCTCGAGTTGCAGCTCCACTTACATATTTGACTTGTAAAGACAAACTCCAATGGAATCAAGAAGCAAAAGTTGCTTTTGAATCTTTGAAGACAGCGTTTGTTTCTGCACCAATCTTGTATCGTGTTGATTTTTCTAAAGCATTCTTTATGGAAATAGATGCATCAGACTTTGCTCTAGTTGCGGATTTATCACAAATGGGAATAGATGATAAACTTCATCCAGTAGCCTTTAATTCAAGAAAATTCTCAGCAATAGAAATCAATTATGAGATCCACGATAAAGAACTTCTTGTAATTGTGGATTCTTTTCAAGAATGGCGTCATTAT